GGGTGTTGGCTGGTTGTTGATCAGGCGAGATAATGCATCGGCCTGACCGAAGTCGGTGGTGCGCCGATATTGAATATCGAAGTCATACCCCAGCATAATCAGAGCTCATCTTTGCAGGCGATTGGCAGAGTGCGCTGGAACACCTTTCTTTGAACCAAGGATGGAGAGCAGTGTTTTGTGATCGGTGAGTAGAGTGAAACGGCGGCCATATGGCATTTTTGGAAACGCCGAACCGCAAACACCAGTGCCAACGCTTCTTCCTCTATTTGGCCGTGTCGCTGTTCTGCTGGAGTTAGCGATTTCGACGCATGCATAATGGCTTTCTCTGATCCATCTGGGAAGACGTGTAGGATGACGGCACCGACTCCACAGTTGGAGGCGTCAGCTGCCACAATAATCGGTAGTTTCGAGTCGTAGTGGGTCAGCAGCATATCAGAGCTGAGCATGGTTTTCAGCTTGCAGAATGCTTCCTCACATTCTTCTGACCAACACCACGGGACGTCCTTTCCAAGCAGCCGATTAAGCGGAGGCCGGATATCGTGTAGCGCAGGCAGAAATGCCGAATAATAACTAATCAGCCCCAGAAAAGAGCGTAAGGATGGGACATCTTCAGGGGGCGGCATCTGCTGTATAGCTCGAACGTTCTCCGGGTCAGGATGGCGACCAGAGGCATTGAAGATGAACCCAAGATATTTCACAGTTGTCAAGAAGAATTGACACTTCTCGGGACGGAGGCGGAGGCCATTGTCCTGAATGCGCAGTAAGACGGCATTGATTCGCTCACGAAGCTCTTCGGGGGAAACAGCAACGATCAGCACGTCGTCCAGGTATGCGACCACACCTGGAATGCCAGAAAGGATGGTGTCCATCAATTGCTGGAAAATTGCTGGGGCGGTTTTGACGCCAAACGGAAGACGGTTGTACTGATACAGCCCGCGGTGTGTGTCGATTGTCAGTAGTGGGCGTGATTCTGGCGCGACTTCAACTTGAAGGTACGCTTCAGCAAGGTCGATTTTGGCGAAGAACTTCCCACCGTTCAGAACAGTGAATAGATCGTCGGGTACTGGTAGTGGATAATGGTGCTGCTGGATAGCTGCATTTAGGCCGGTTGAGAAATCGGCGCATATGCGGATGTCACCGTTAGGTTTCTTCACCACAACGATCGGCGCTGCCCAGGCAGAGTAGGATACAGGGGACAGAACGCCTTGTTCTTCCAACCGTTGAAGTTCGGCATCTACCAGTGGGAGGGAAGCGTACGGAACTGGTCTCTTTGGACGGAAGACTGGCGTAGCTCCCAGCACGAGGTGGAGGACTGCCTGTGTCGCAGTGCACTGACCGAGACCGGAATGGAAAACAATTGGAAATCGCTCCATAATGTCGGATGCATGATCTGGATGCGCTGTAGGAGACTGAACTGCATTGCAAACGGCGCTGATTGGAATGTCGGCTAACCCAAGGCGATCGAACCAA